GGTTATAAGATTTATTAAATCTTACCAAGAGTTTGCATTTATTAGATTGAAGCCCTATTTTTGTTTGCAGACGATCCGCTGTACGCATTAATGTCGCTTTCCGTGCAAGCTCTTCACCATCGAACAAGGTGCCGTATTTTAACGTATGGTTCACTAAACACAGCTTAAGTTAACACATACTCTCATACCTTATAAGTTGTTTAGCTCTCCTTTTTGTGCATTTTCATTACTGGTCGCTTTATTTCATCACGAATTGTGATAGAAAAACATTGCGTTCAACTCGACGCGCATGTTTGGAAGCAACTAAGTTTGCAACTTAAAGCTTTCATGTCTTATTTACAGGAACTGTTCGTCCGAATCACTGATGAAGAGGATTTGTTTTTCCTATACAATTTAGCTCTAGGGGAAAGCGATTTCCATACGTAAGTCAATTACAGTATTGTTTTCTGGCAAAGAATTTGAGCCTATTTGTAGCCCAAAAAGTTTAACAATCACAGCCACTTTTGTTAACTTAAACAGGCTAAAAACTCAACAAGGACTTTTAGTTGACTTCTGTGCCTTCCCGCAAAAATTTGTCGATCTGCTGGAGCTATGCCGTGATGAGGAACAACGTGACCACCCTAAGTAAGTTTGATTTTCTTTATTGGTAAAAGTACATGCATGACAAAAATGAGTCTAAACTTATAAAAATATAAACAAAGCAGAAAAAATTACTTGATACTCTTGTTTGAACTTTTATTAAGCCTATTTATCCCTTTTCTGGCTTTGTTAATGCTCCTTTTCCGAATTAAAAATAAATGCTGAATACCAACATTTACGACTCATTCAGACTAATATGTGCATGCGTAGCAATTTTATACTTTCATACTTTATCAATTTTGTTGCATTTCTTAAATAGTATTATACTCGAAGATATAAGCTCTCTCGAGCTATGCTAAATCCGAGTTTAAATAAAGTTATATGTTATGATAAAGGGTTAGCTTCGATCCAGTGTTAATTAAGCAGTAGAAAACGTTTTTGGTGTTTCATGGCCTGATATAAACACAAGAGGGGTTCGGAGAATTGGAGACAGTTAAGCAAACCTGAGACAAAGTCGAGGTTTTGCGTAACTGTCGAGAATTCTCCCAACACCGCGATTGTTTATATCAGGCTATGCAAACACAGGAATAAAGTTTTCTATTTTGCTTTTATAAAATAACTTTCCCGAGAAAAAAAGGAAAACTCTTTGTATGGCACTAATTAAAAGAGAAATTCTTACCAGTCGCAAAGTCTTGTCCACGAAGTCTTGCACGTGTAATCAGTTCTTGTTTTGCAAAAAGATGCTTTCCAAAATACGGACGTTTCTCGCCTAAAATGTCAGTTTAAGCAAAAAAAAAATTGACACACCTTCTTCCTAACGATTTTCTAAGGATATGTGTTTCCCATGTACGGAAACACATACCACTAGGAATACGTGTTTCCTAGGTGGGGGAACACATATCACTAGGGATATGTGTTTCTCAGGTAGGGGAACACATATCACTAGGGATACGTGTTTACCAAGTAGGGGAACACATATCACTAGGTATATGTGTTTCCCAGGTAGGGGAACACATATCTCTAGGGATACGTGTTTCCTAGGTGGGGGAGCACATATCACTAGGGATACGTGTTTTCCAGGTGGGGAAACACATATCACTAGGGATATGTTTTTCCCAGGTAAGGAAACACATATCCCTAGTGATATCACTAGGGATATGTGTTTCCCAGGTAGGGGAACACATATCACTAGGGATA